TAAAAGTGAAGCAACTGTATCCAGGTTCCAAAATTGAACCAAGACTCTGATTAAGGGCTCATTGGTCTTAACATGAAGCAAAAGTGCAATGTCACCATACCGTTGATTGAACTTCTGTTTCCGATCATTCTTCCAACTATCTCATATTTCTCGAAGTTCTTGCACATTATTTTGTTTTAAACTGATAGAGGCGTATCTAACTAGCTCTGACACATAGCTTCCTTCAAGACTATCTCCATTTTCCTTCTGAGTCTTCTCGGACCATAGTCGTACCTCGGGGTTTTTAATCTCTTGTATTACAACACCTTTGTCCATGGATTCAGATTATTCGAGTTTTAACAAACACGTTTTAGTGGATCAATGACCTCTTTTATGATGCAAGTGATGAAAATAAAATAAAATAAAATAAAAGAAGATGAAAGAGTTAGTGAGGTGAAAAAAATAATAAAAAAGATCATAAAAATGAAAGTCCTACCCCACATGATATCTACCCACATGCTTATTATCCTACCCGGACATGATCTCTATCCCGCATGCTACTTTCAAACAAATCCTAACCGCATATTTGTCTAGTTCACATGCTTTGAACAGAAACTAAAGCAGGAAACAAAGCAGCCTAGGGTTTGGAATGAGATTTTGGGGTGGGCTCTAATTCTCCACGGTCTCCCGGTTTAGGTGCTAAAAAATGGTACCTGAGTTCTCCTTGCTGGTGCCCCCTTGGGCTTGCCAGACCCTTAGTCCTAAACCCATCACAGGCTTGTGTGGACTAAGTTAAACTCGAGAGGAAACATTCCCTTATGCCCATACGGAGAATAAATTCACACGAAGGCATAAGGTATATGAATCCCGAAGGTTACTTGCTAGGCCCATACGGAGAATAAATTCACACGAAGGCGTCGCTTTCACCCCCACTTAAATAGGGTTCGGAGCTCGGGTATAGAGCCTTTAGATGAAAAATCTTTAAGGGCTGAAATCATTAAAAACGGTCAGTACAACTATTTATTTCGAAAATAATCAAAAGTAAGCAATAAGGATCGAAATGTTACCTTAAATTTAAACTTACCCTTTTCGTTAAAAAGACAATTGGAAATTACCTTAGACTGACTCACTTACCTGTGTCCCCAGCGGAGTCGCCAAGCTGTCGCAACCGTCTTTCGGTTGGGCCCCGGAATTGGGCTTCGACTTGAAATATATGGATTGGAGTCGCCACCGATCATTTATTTAAAGATAAATGGGTTGATCGGATACCCTATTTCTTACCTGATCTGCGTCTTACCAGAAATGTCGGGCTCGGGAGTCGGTTACGGTCAAGGAAGGATTAGCACCCTTGAACCGCCCTTTCGGTATACGTAATTTTCAGTTGTCTTAATTAAGAAAAACAAGTTAAATTAAAAGAAAATAATGATCCAAAATTACTTACCTTTGACGGATTTACAAATAAAAAAGTAAAAGCATATTATATAAGAAAATAATAATAAAAAAAAAGAAAATCAAAAGTAAATACGTATATATACATGCAAAATAGGAATATATTAATATATATTATATATATATATATAATAACACTAATAAAAAAACTATATACATATAATAAAATTAATAGAAAGTAATATGCATATATACAAGAATAATAAAGTAGGAAAAAAATGATTTAGGGGGAGAATTAATATTTTAAAAAATGAACACGCCTCGGGGGTGGATCTAGGTTCGAAACTTCGAAATCCCACCCTTTTTTAGTCATCGGCGCAACCCACGTTTGGGTTATTCGAACCAAATCTCAAGAAAATAACGTGCACATGCGAGAAATGAACGAAAAATGTAAAAAAATGCTACATTTTATTTCCTTTTCGAATCGTTTACAACAACTTTGCCTTTGTATTTTCCGTGCTTTCCTCTGTGTTTTGTGTGTAAATCGTGTCTGTCAATCGTGAGTTACAATGGCTATTTATAGTGCTTGTGGATCCTATCTTTAGGAGTTTAAATCATAAAATTCTATCCTATTTTTTGAATCCTAGCAAAATTCTATCATATCTTAGGAGTTTGAATCCTAAAATTCTATCCTATTTTAGGAGTTTGAATCCTAGTAGGACGAAAAATGTGTGTTGACAATTCACTTGACATATTTTTTTTATTAGTATTAACATTTGATATCATTTAAAAATTGGAGCATAGAAAAGTCCATATTTTCTATGCAACCAAACAAATTTAATATTTTTCTACCAAAAAAGAAAATGCACTTGGAATCTTATACTACACTATGAAGTGTTATATCTGGGAACCAAGCTATTAAGAATGGGTAAAATTAACCTAATATCGTAGGCAAACTAATTATTTATCTTAATATAATATCAAACAAGTTATTTAGGGATCTACGACAAATGTTATAGTACAGGAAAAATTTGTCACGTCGACGGTACAAGTTTGAATAAAAAATATTTTTTATTTAAACTTTTTATTTTGATATAATAAATTCTAATAAAAAATTATATTTTTTTATAACTTGTTATATCGACGTGACGAGTTTCCTTACATTATAACATTTATAGTAAATTCCAAAATAACTTTGAAGATAACCTAATATGTTAAAAAATTTAATCCACTTATCTATCGGATCATTTCACCATTAAAAATAAACTACACAATAAATATACTACATTTTTTCAGAAAATGTTTTCCGTAAAATGAATTATATTTTCTGGAAAATGTTTTATGGTGTTTGAAAAATGTTGCGTGAACCATTTTTCACTAGTTGATAAATTTTTTAGAAATTATTTATTGCAAATATAAAATATAATAAATAATATTATTTATTATAAAAATTTAATATTAGTATTTTAAAAATTTTAGAATAATTTTATTAAATACTATTTATGCCAATATTATTATTAAAATATTATTTCTATAATTTTATAAATAAAAATATTAACTCTGGTATATTCTATTAAAATAAAAAATATGATAAATTATATTGAATATCTATAAAAATAAAAAAATATTATATTATATTTTAAAATTATTAATAAATATATTTTAAGAATTTTTTTATAATATTATTAGACTATATTAATATTAAATACATAAATAAAAGTATTCACTATTAATAATTCGATAATATATTTTTTAAGAAATTAATAATATAACTTTATTAATAATTTATTATATATTATTAAAATATAATAGTATTATATTCTTATATAAATTGAGTATATTAAAATAATAAATATATATTATATTATATTATTAAATATTATATTTTTATGTTGTAATTTTTATAAAAATGATACTAAAATATCATATTAATATTAAATTTATAAAATACTATTATTTTGAGTATTTATGCTTTGAAGTGAAAATTTTGGAAAATGACTTACGGAAAATTAAACCGTAAGTTATTTTCTAGAAAATGCAAAGGAAATTCTGTTGATTAGGAAAATGTTTTACATTGATCAATCTATTTTCCTCCAACCAAACACTGATAATATTTTTAATAAAAGTTACTTGTGTTCATATATTTGAGCATGAAATTAATAATATGATTTTAAAAGTACAAAATATTTACAAATTTAAAAATGTTTCTATGTATGTATGTTTTTTTATTTACATTTGACATTCTTGTAAAATCTTTATAATTAAACAATATATATGAACAAACACGGTTTTCAATCGCCAACATTAACTTAATAATATGCTTATAAACTTCAATGACCTTAAACGATGGATGTCAAAGGCTACATTCGTTTTATTGAATTAATTTCAAAATATGACCAATTTGATAGATTGTGTAAGTAATAAGGACTAAGTGTATAGTTATACAAATTTTATTAACTGTCACATCAACACTTCCTTTAATTGTTAACGTCAACTGACTTGATTAAATGCATTTAAATAGTTTAGTGACTTTATTGACAAAATTTCAAAAAAGGTAGTCAAAATGAAAAAGGGCCATAGTTAGGTGGTCCTTGTTATAATTTATCCAAAAAATTATAAAAATAATATAATTAATATTTTATTTCAACTAATTTATTTTTAAAATTTAACTAACTTTTAATTATACTCTGAGTATTTTAAATTTTAAATTTTATAAATTAAATTAATAGTACCATCGTTAATGAGACGAACTCGTACCTATTAACCGAAAATCATTTCATGCATTTAATAAATGATTCAATCTATTAATATTTTATTTTCACCGACAATATTAAGAAGCTAAATTAAATGAGAATTCTAACATTACTACCCAAATACTCTACACAAGATGCCATAATTTGGACATAAATACATGCAAGCAAGACGTCTCACAACTTATTTTTCCTGCAGGCTAATTACCACATTTCATTCTAGGCCAATTTGATAGATTGTGTAAGTAACAAGGATTAAATGTGTAATTATATAAATTTTATTATTTTTCATATCATCACTTCCGTTAATTATTAATGACGACTGTTAATTGTTAACGACAAGTGGCTTGATTAATTACATTTAAATAGCTTAGTTATATGATCGATAAAATTTTAAAAATAGTGGTCAAAATGAAAATAACAATAGTTAAGTGGTCACTGTTATAATTTACCCAAAAAAAGATTATAAAAAAATAATATAATTAATATTTTATTTTAACTACCTTTAAATTTTTAATTAATTCATAATTACATATTAAATCTTTTAAAACTTTATAAATTAAATTAATAATATTCATATTAGTGCTAATAGTACTCGTCCACCAATAATCGTAGATTATCCGATTGTTAATTAAACATAAAAATGTCGTGTTTTAAAATTATACTCCAATCTACAAATCCCCAATCTAATCTCCGAGTATCCAATAATCATAAACCACTAAATTGATGGCCGTTGACTGTGTTTCGAAGATATTATTACGTGTCGACTAGATAACACATGGTTTTTGGGTTGCAAGATGTGTCTTTATGCAGAGAATAAAAACTTCTCTGACAGCCTTAAATTCATCAATTGTTTTCGTCTACCCGCCATCTCCCGACCAGATAAAACAGTCAACCCTCAAGATTAAACCTTTTTTTAAACACTTCCCCCATAAGCTTAAACGCCTGCTCTGAGAGTAAAAAGCAATCCACCCACCACCGCCGTTGATTATGGGGTTCACCGCCTGGGTCCCATCTCCTTCTCCGTCGTCTCCTTCAAAGCTTCCGATTGACTTCAGTCCACCGTTGATCGCCATGGTGGTGGTTGTCGCCGCAGCATTTCTGATCGTTACGTATTCGCGTCTGATCTCAAAACGGCTCGTACCTCTAATTATCCGTCTACTCAACTTCTTCAGTCGTCGTCGTCGTCGTCGGCGACGTTACTTACCATCCACGACAACCGACCTCGACTCTCTTCCACCGTCTGATCCGTTCGACCTCCCTCTTTACCCTTACGGCCTCGACGACTCTGCCATCAAAACGCTGCCGCTTGCACTCTACACCTTGAAAACCAGACCAAACAATAGCCCCAAAGACTGCGCCGTGTGTCTGTTGGAGTTGGAAGACAACGAATATGTCCGAACACTCCCCGTTTGCTCGCATGCCTTCCACGTAGATTGCATTGACGTTTGGTTGAAATCACACGCTAATTGCCCACTCTGTAGAGCTGGAATCTTCGCTACGGAATCTGCTTTCACTCCGTTAATGGCGGCCAGAATCCGCCCGAGCCTCGACGACGCCGTTTTCGTCACCAACACTCTCGATTCCCTGACGGAAACTCCTCTCCAATCTTTTCCGAACAACACCGTGACGGAAATAACGGAAGAGCCTTCGCCGAGAAGAACGAACGTCGGGAACAGTAATCGCGAGGAAAGGTTTAATTTTGTGTTGAAAAGGTCGTATTCATTCGGTTTCGAGAGGAGTTTAGCGGCGGAGAGGATGATGATAACGGAGCCCAACACAGCTTCGCCTTGGAGGTACAGGAGAGGGCTTTGGAGCAAAAGGGCATCTCCGTTTGGTTCGTTAATGATGAAACCCAGGGTCTTCTCTTTTAGATATTACAGAGGAATGAAAGCTTCACCCTTTTTTCGTCGGAGAGGCTTCTTTCCAATGTCGGAATCCAGTGTCAGGTTCTCCGGCGGCGGCGGGGGCTCGTCGAGAAGAAGTAAATCAATGGCTAGTCCCATGTTTTTAAGATCAGCCGCTTCAAGCGTGGCGGCTTTCTCGTCGAGCCGGCTCCGCTGCGGCGACCCAGAAGCGCTGCTGTCACCGGAGAGGTTCAACAGAAGATAAAAAAGAAAAAAGAAAAGAACCCAGAGAACACGTGGACGGCTGGATGGAGAGGAGGAGAGAGTGGAAAATTTGGGGGGGGGGCATTAATGAAAGGTGGGGAGGGGACAATTAATGAGGAAATTGACGAGACACGAATTTCTGAGCTTGAGGATCGAAGAAGAAGAAGGAGGAGGCTGAGGAGAAGAAGAAAAAGAAGGTAAAAGGAGTGGCCATTAAATGCAGACCGAACCAAAGGGTTCTTATAGTGCATTGGGTTGGGTTTTGGGCACTCCCCACCGACAACATCGTAATAGGGAATTCATTTTGCTTCTCATTTTCTATCTGCTTGTGTGAATTTATTCACAGACATTAAATTTTGGGCATCACACTCTCACCCGTCTTTCTTTCTATTTACTTATTGTGTCATTGTTATAGTAGTAAATACAAAAGATTAATAATGTCGACTCTTCTGGCATTGTACAACTTGAGCTAGTGCTCTTATTATTATGCATTCTCACTCAATACATGATGCTGATGTGTATAATTGTATTATATCCATACTTGATAGTTTATCTTTTTTAATTTAAGTGGCGAATTATAATCGCTGAACTAATAATCGATTGGTGTTTGAAACTTTTGTTAGGGGCAGAGGACAGATTAATGAAGAAGAAGTATTTCATATTTTTTTTTGCCATGCGTTGTTGTTTATACATGGATCTTTTGGTGATGTTATCAAATCTAAGATCATAGTGATTATATTTAAGAGTTGATTACGTGGACATGTCGGTGATCCATCATAAAATCGTAATTGATCGGAATATATGTAACTCCGAACATTTTTAAAAAAAAATCAAAAAACATACCTAATGTGATCTACGAAAGAGTTAAAATAACTACCTTCACATATTTTTGTGAATCTAAATGCCCAAATTGAATTTCACAAACTGTAACCCACAAACAATTTCCAACTCTCAAAAAACAATAAGGGAAGAAAAAAAGAGTGTGCCCATTTTTAAATGCGTAGTGTAAAAGTGGTGAATAACGTCAGTAAAACGAAATAAGAAGATACAATGACAGGTGAGCTACTTGAAACACATCATATGCACCTGCTCCATCTCATCTGCTCTTACTCTATCTATCTATTACGTCCTCATCCCTCATTTATCTGTTACTATTGTCTGTCAATTGCATACACCTCCTTTCTTTTATTCTTAATCACATTCCACTCCAATAATTTTCCGATTTCTACAAACTACTCCTCAATGATTCAAACACATTTATAAATTATAAGTGCCACCATCTTATGTTTCTTTCATCTTGAAACTGTGAGGAAAAAAATCCAGGATGGAATGAATGTGTATGAGGGATCCAAAATGACTGAGCTTCAAGTGTAATCAGAGGGAGAAATGAAGGGGTTTGGTGGAGTTTACCCATTGGTGTTTTATAATTGGAAGTGATAGCACCTAGGTCAGTTTTGCAGTGATAGAGGCATAGCGACCGATAATGCTAACAAATGAAAATTGGATGCTTCCTGCACTTACTCGTTCAGAAAATTTTATTGAGTTTTCTCTTTTACTGGGAACTTGAAGATGAATTAAGAATCTCAGATAATTGTAATAACTTTATATTCGACGTTAGTACAAATGTTTTTATCATTGATTACGATTTTCGTTAAAATCATCTATAACTTCTGTGATCCATGTATTCTCATCAACGGTTCTCACGACATAACTAGATCGAACGGTAAGAGAAGGGGATGTTAAACGTTAACCTTAACACTGATTTTGTGTGCAAATGGGCATCATAGTTCCCACTAGTAAGGAAGTCTATAAAGCAATTACAGGTGGAAAGTCCACAGCTCGACCTTTTAAAAGCATTGGCTTACCCTTGTCCCTTCAGTCCTATGGACATTATTTTGATTAGGAAATTTTCCCATCTTTGGGATATCCTAATATTATTGGCGTTGGGAAAGTGGTCGCTTTTAGGCCCCATCTCATGATGCTTCCATTTTCCTGCCGACCGTAGAATAAGAACGGTAGTGGAAACAAACAATACATGCTTGTCTAAAACAATGTACCAGTCTCAGGGTATGGTAAATCCAAACTTCAAGGTGGTTACTTTAAAAAAAAACCTTCCTTGTTCTCTCTTTATAAGGGAAGGAACATTCGTGGTTTGGTCGATTTAAACTAAGAAAAGGGAAGAATGCTGTGACACACACAATGACCATACATCCAAGATGAGACAGAATTTCCAGATTGGATGCAAAATGGCGATGGAGGGGGTACCTGGATCTTTGGGCACTAGAGTTGGCTGTTCTTTGAGATTCGGACAGACCCTTTTTTCTTGTGCTTCTCTTCTCTTCATGTCTTTGGGAGTCGAGTTCTATAGCTACACTGCTTTCTGGTAGGTCTCTGCTTTTTATTTCACTCTGTTCTGCTGTAATTGTTGCTTTAGATCGAGCAATGATCGGACTTTTGTTCCGGTGGTTGTTGCTGCTAACATTTTCAGCTATTTGGTAACAATCATGGGGCTGGTTATTCCATGGAGTTTTACATTGGCATTGGTGGATGGGTACTCTGTTCTGGTTAGATGTCCTGTTCGTCAGCCTGGAGTATTGGTCATAATAGCTGCAGGAGATTGGGTAAGCTTATGTTTGCTGGAAGCTATTAGACCGAGTGAAAACTGATAATACGTTTTGATGGCAGGTTTTGTCGGTTCTGACTCTAGCAGCGGCATGTTCCACGGCTAGTGTCGTGGATCTCCTTTTCAACTCCGGCTGGTCCTTTTGCGCTCCCAAGTGTTGCAGTAGATATCAACTCTCGGCTGTCATGGCTTTTCTCACTTGGTTTCTGTCTTTGGCTTCAGCTCTTCTCAATCTTTGGTTACTACCCTCCTTGTAATTCTCTAGGTCTGGGAATTTGTTTGTTTTCCACTATAATTGTAGCATCTCAAGGTAAATATAGATTACTAAGAGGCTTTTTGGAGCCACTATTGTACAATGAATCACACAATCACAAACTAAAGTGAACAATTTGGACATTGAAGATATTGAAATCTAGAATTCTGTCTGGTACCATATCCTATGCTTTGAGAGCAGATTACCATGCTGATCCTTTGATGGAGTTGATTGTGGAGCTGTGATGGAAAACTAAAAACACTCGAGCCGGATTAGGACCGTAAAATGAAGTGCTTAAGGGCTTGGTCTTTTCCATCACGAACAGGGAAGGGATGCTCTGATTTGCCTGCATTTACAGCTTAGATGCCCTGAGGATCACAAAAGCCGATACATCAGGTAAAGATATGGTATATTTAACCAATTCTCAATCCAACTTAACTGAGAAAAGAAATGATGGTACCTACAGTGCTTTACTGGAGATAGAAACTTGCTATCCTTTTCTCTTCACCAGGCACAAAGAGCTGCTTGAATATTTAATCGGTTTACGGATCCATGTCAGGAAATGAACCATTGAACATACTTGGTTCTTTGGAACTCCGGCAGAATAGGACTGTATACCCTTCCAAGTTAATCTTTTCAAATTTCAGAAACAAAACAAGAGCTTAAATTTCTATGTTCTTGTTGTAAAAAACAAAGCTCAGCATCAATGTTACTTTCCAGAGAACTAATAGAGATGCAAACCAACGCCTCACGCTCTCACAACCATGTATCTATCATGAAGCTGCGAATACCTGCTTATTACTTCAATCGCGATAGCAGCACAGACCTGCTTCCATCTTCATTGCCACATTGCTAAGAATTTAACATACAAGTTGCATCAGTTTGTCGTATTACTGAATATAACAGAGGGCCAGCATCAAAGTAGGAAGATATCCGCTTTTACATGAAACCAAAATTTCTCTCGACAAATGACCCGAATTATCCAAAATGAATCTCAACAAAGCTAAGACAATCATTATCTAACAAAGGAAGCGCATATCTCAAGAACAACTTACCATAAGTTTTCAAACAGGTCTGCTTCCACTTGTAAGATGATAGACATCTAATTACTTCCTCTTTTTGAGTCTCTAAAGCTTCCTTTCTCAACATTGCTGCCATTTCCTCATTTCCCTGTCTCAAATAACCATCTATAAAAGCATCATATATCTCCAGAATCGGCTTGAACCCTTTCCCCGCCATCTCTGCGTGAAGCTTTATCACTTCCTCCATCTTTCCCTCCGCTCGCAAACCTTTTACTAAAAGCTCGTAACTTGTCCCTGTCAGGCAAACACCAAATTCTCTCACCGCCTTCATTATCTCAAAAGCTTTAAGTACCATACCTTTACCACAAAGCCCTCTAATCAACAGTTTGACAGTTAAACTGTGCGGCCTAAAATCTTTCCTACGCATATCCCTGTATATCAACATAGCTGAATAAATATCTGCAATTTTACAATATCCATTAATAAGATTCTCGTAGGTAACACAAGTTGCCTTTATTCCATTCAATCCCATTTCTCTGAACAACTCTTCAGCTCTCGTAATCTCTCCACTTTTACATAATCCACCGATCATTGTATTGTATGCCACACCCTTCACTTAAATTTCCTCCCATAAACCCTCTGCTTCTCTCACCTTCCCTTCCTCACAAAAAGCTTCCATTAAAATGCTATAACTATAACTATTTGGGGCACATCCTAAGCTCTCCATTTCACACCAAACCTCTCTCGCTTTGTCCGACAACCCTTCGTGAAAAAAACAGAGCATCAACGCGTTAAAAGTATGCACATTTGGCCGGACCTTAAAAACCCTTTTCTTATTACAGTCACTGTCAGCACTACCGACTCCAAAAACCTCTTTATAAACCTCATAGCCCTTATTTGCTCCATGAAATTTCGAAAACTCGGAAATCAAAGCATTACAGGTACTAACTTGGGGGCTAATCCCTCTAGACATTAACATTCTAACGGTCTCAATAGACCCATCAAGCCTTTTCATTTGCAAACAAGATTTTACCAACAAATCGAAAACAAACGGGGCAGAACCGCACTCATTATAAGTTTTAAACAACGATTCAAATATTATAAAATGAGTAGGCTTCTTTTCAATACCTGGGGTCCGAATCGCGAGTCGGATGAGTTCCCGGACGCGGGTTTTGAATCGAGTACGAGAGAGGATGTGAATTATGGTGGAATAGGAGAGGAGGTTGTGGTGACAGAGGGATTTTTGTTTGGTGAAGAGGAAAAAGCGGAGGGAAAGGGGCATTATTTTTGAGTTGGAGGGTGATTTGGGAGAACTGGGATGGGGTGAAACCGGAGGGGAATAGAGTGAGGACAGTGGACCAGCGAGACTTGGAGCGATGATGGGTGAGAATGGAAGTGACGGCGGAGATTGGGTCGGATTGATTGGACGGCGGAGAAGGCGGGATGGGGTGAAACCGGAGGGGAATATCGTGTGATAAACGTAATGAAAAAAGTAGACACAACTGCAATTTAAATACCCGATAATGAAAGACCACTAATAAAACTTCATCGCAACTAATTGACAATACAAGTAGTTTTATACACAACATTTGGAAGTATATCAAATTATCCGCAACCATAATTTACATCCGGCTTGGCAACAATCGACTCAAATGGTACTTCAATCCTCTCTTTCACCAAGCATCGAGCTTCTCCGTCCTCCATTACCAGGACTTTCCCAGGTGGACACAGACCATTTGAATTCTTCTTTTCAGTTCCACGTTGATGATTCATGCCAAAAATCTTGACATGATTACATTTCCCGATGGTCTGCACGAAATTGGACAGGCTTAATATGTACATTACACCAACAAGGGGAAGCACGGTCTTCACTGCTGAACTTATGAAGCGGCCGAATACTTTCCCCGAGCTTTTGGACCCGTCTTGCTTGCCGTGTTGTTTCGGGTTCTTTGCTTCATTCATAGGGTCGCCGGTGGAAATCCCATTTGGCAAAGACTTGTATGTTAACTGTAAGTGTGACAAGTTGTTATCCAGAACCAAGGATCGTGGGGGGCGACTCAGATATGGGGGAAGGAGGAGGTCACGATTATTCTCCACCGTTTCACTAAAGAAAGCAGAAGCCTCGAGAATCACTTCCATGTCCTTCCCTTTATAATCTTCGAGCTTCTCCATGACAACTCTCCGGCTATAATAGATCTTAGCAAGGGCAACTTCCTTTTCATAACTTTGCTGATGTTGCAGATTCTGTTAAGTCAAGAAAACTAAACTACTAAACCGTTTTTTTTTGTAAGAAAAACAAGTTATCAACACAAACGTCTCTCTATTTCAAGGGATACCCTTCTATGCATGCAAAGGTATATATAGAGCATGGTTCGGTAAATCGGAATATCCAATATGTATGACCAATAAACGAAAAGACTAACAACTAATGCTTTGAATTCATTCATCCTCAAGTAACTTCAAACAGAAATGTCTATGCATATCTTGAGTTCAACAATGACCTAGTGCTCCACTTACAAATCAGTGGGTGCGGTGCAGCCATGATAAAACAGAATGCCTTTGATCATCACTGAGATTTCCATACTACTATTCACATTGCAATTGGTTTCTTAATGTTATTTCCTGAATCCTAAAAGGTCAACCAGTCACAAAATCATAGTCGATAAATGTCAAGTGCCGAGTGACTTACTAAAGAAAGGCTGAAACCCAGTAACAACCACTTTTGCAATGCTGAGTTTTAGGGTTTCCTTGAAGATACACAGTAGTCAATGTCTATGGCTATGATGCTGATGATGTTTGAAAATGGGAAATGCTAATTTCAGAAATTGGAATGATTAGGAAAAGCCAGCTAACTTCTTTCTTTTCTGTATTACTTAAACAAAGAATCAAGGTGAAATCAATTGTAGAATCAAAATAGTGTAAAAACTATAATTGATTGAGAAGAAGAAAAACTCTTTAGAATAATCTCACAAAATTGCAAAAGGGAAGAACTCTTAAGAAAGTTTTCAAATGCTTATAATTAACCTTTGATTGTTGGATGATAAAACTCAAATACAAGTAGGGTATTTATAGGTTACAAGAAATAATCTAAATCACTCATTAAAATAAGCACTAAATAATCTAAACCATTGAAATTAAAACATGAGAAAAATACTTAATTTTCACCTAACTAAATTGATGTAAGCAATGACATCAAAACTAAATTGATGTAAGCAATGACATCAAATTAATTTAGGTGTGAACTTATTTAGGCTAATATTGAATTTTCAACACCCCCTCAATGTTAGCCTCCATTCTTTGAATCACGCCATGCTGACGACGGAAATGTTCAAACTTTCCAACACTCAAGCTTTTTGTAAACAAGTCAGCAATTTGCTCATATGTCTTGATTTGCCTCATCTCAATCTCTTCTTGCAAAACTTTTTCCCTAACAAAGTGGTAATGTATTTCCACATGTTTAGTTCTTGCATGAAAGACAGGATTCTCCGCCAGCCGAATTGCCGATTGTTTGTCACAATACAACGAAATTGCATAATCTACTGGTTGATGTAGATTATTCATCAACTGTATCAACCATGTACTCTCTTGAGCTGCCATTGTTGCTGCTCGATACTCAACTTCAGTAGTTGACAATGATATCGTTGGTTGTCTTTTGCTACACCAAGAAATTGTTCCGGAGCCAAGCTTAAACACATATCCAGTTGTTGATCTCCTGGTGTCATGATCTTCTGTATAATCAACATCACAATAACCAACTAACTTGAAGTCTTCACATTTCTTGTACAAAAGACCATAGTCAATTGTATTCTTCACATATCTCAGTATTCGTCGAACTGCTTCCAAATGAGGCTTCTTTGCATATACCGACTCATCACACCAACTGCATAAGAAATGTCAGGTCGGGTCAAGGTTAAGTAGATTAGACTACCTACCAATTGTCGATACATTGTTGCATCTTCCAAATCTTTTCCTTAATGTGCACACATTTTGATATTTGGTTCCATTGGCGTTGAAGTTGACTTGCATTCGAGCATTCCAAACCTCTTTAACAAATCTTTAGCATATTTCTGTTGACATAGAAATATTCCTTCGTGTATGCGATCAACCTCT